CCAGCTAAGTCTGAGACTTATCAGCCGGTTCCAAAATTTACATTTACATTATTTAAAATTATTCTTCTTTCTTGACTTTATTTCTTGTGGCTCTTGAGATGAACTGAAAACAGAACTATATTTCGAAATTGTAATTATAATTAGGTACATCATAATTTTGCATAAAATAATTAAATTGCCAACTAGCACCTCTTAATGGATATAACATACAAATAATTATTTACAAACGTTCAGAACTGGTACAATTCAATTTTTATTGGTTTTATATCATAAATTATAATTAATATGCAATTTGAAAAGGCATTGATTGGACAATATCTATTGTATAATTTTTAAATGACGTAAAGTAAAATAAAATCTATTAAAAAATGAAACGTAATTTATCTGTGATAGGTTACAAAGGCTTGATAATGACTGATTTATCGAGAAAGTTCATTGTAGGTAATCAACATAAAAGTACGCATAGGTCGTCTTTAGATTAAACATTTGTTGACATCCGCTAAACATTTTATCAACACAGGCTTGTCAGATTCGTCCTTCCTTGCAAAAATTTTTCCATTTTTTACCCAAACAAACTTGTATTTAAGTATAATAGCCCTTTTACGCGTTTCACGGTAAATTACTCGGTTTTCGGGGGTTAAATTTTCATTAAAATACAGTCTATTAATGTTGTTTAATTTTCTTTCATTAACCGACAATGAACGGTACCATTCGCGACCTTTTTTTAAAACGATAGGTTTGTCTTCTTCGTGTTTTAATTTAATGAGCAAAAAGTTTGTGTGGGTTAAGGAAACTTCATTTACACGTTTAATTTCGATATTTTGGCAACCGATTTTTTCGGCGATGACTTTGAATTTTTCTTCTGCTGCTACATTTAATTATTATAATATTGACTTGCCAATCAAAATTTTTTTAGCAATTTTTGAAAAATTACATAATATATGCCACGAAGCGAATACACAACGAAAAACGTCTGTCAATATGCTAGCGCTCTATTATTTTGTCTCTCCACTATTATTAGAATTGATTGCAGATGTTTATTAATCAATTTTGTTTGTTGTGCTGTTAAAATTTAAAAAAATTACATAAAAAGAGAACTAACCGCTCAACAGACGTATGATATATAGTACAGTCAAATTAGATCGAATTTTCACGAATAGCGGAAGTAATTGAAAGAAAGCTGAAAATTGGTATAGAGGTACAGTCTCTTGTAAAAGTAATGTCCCTCGGATACCTACCACTGTAGCATAGGCAACCAACATCCCAACCGACTAGTCCAAGTTGGATTTGCGGGTGTGGGAGGTAGGTAGGTATCTAATGCGGTTCGTTTTCAGCAGGTATTCCCACTTTGCCAAACTAAAAATAAGTTAGTAGAATGAAAATGAATGGCATGGATTTATTAGCTCAAAAGATCTGCGCTGCTTTAACCTATCCTTGGTTTAATACAATAGAAATTTTTACATTTCAATTGGTTTGGTTCGTTTTAAATTTGGAAATAGTTTAGCTAAAATAATGACATTTACTTTTAATTTTTTCGAGTAGATTTTCTTCTAACAAAATAAATGTGATGATTTTGTCGTTTTATACTGACATTGAAATTGAAGTCTCATTATTAATTACTCGGGCCTCCTAATGGAATGCGATTATCTGCACTGGAAGCGCAACAATGCCGTTCCTTTTGTAACTACCACCTCCCATTCCTTTCAAACCCCGGGATGGCACCCGCGGAAAAATTCAGCTGTTTTAATTATTTTTCCCTAATTTCTAATCATTTCACCTGCATGAAAAAGCCGGTTTAACTGGTAACTAATTTTTTTGTCAAAAAATATTATACCTATAACCTGGACTAAATATCCTTATAAATGCCTACCTACTCAGAAATATGCAACGTAAAAGCTCTCCTAAACTAAATTCGATATTAAATCAACCACGACCAAGTATCACAAATGCATATCATTTAATTTCTGATGCTAGTTACAAAAGAAAGGTATTGTTGCACAGTGCACTTGTAGGGCATTAATCGCATTTCATGAGGAGACCTACTCGCAAGTAATTATTAATGACACTGGAATTTCAATGTCATTAAAGGACAAGAATATCACCTTTATTTCGTTAGAAGAAAACCTACTCAAAAAATTAAAAAGTGAAAGGCCATTATTTTGTCTTAATAGTCTCTAGCTAAACTATTTGCAAATTTAAAACGCACCAAACCAATTGTAAGAAATGTAAAAATGTTTACTGCACCAAACCAAGGATGTGCAGCGCAGATCCTTTGAGCTAATAAATCGATGGCATTCACTTTTATTCTACTAACTAGTATTTAGTTTGGCTAAATGGGAATATCTGCTGAAAATGAATCGCATTACTATAGATAGCTACCTCGCACACCCGCAAATCCAACTTGGACTAGGCGACTGGGATGTTGGTTGCCTATGCTACAGTGGTAGGTACCTATCCGAGGGACATTACTTTTACAAGAGACTGTACCTACCTACTTAATGTATGTGGGTAGCAAGAGGTACCAAACGAACGAAATAGAACTCTCGTATATACTATATAGGTATTATACCTATATGATGTCTGAACGAAAACAGAAGTTGTTAACCTTTGAGTGGGTTTTGGTATACCTAGTTCGTTTTTTGAGTCGTTTTTTACCCTTTCTTCTTAAATACCATACATTCCACTTGGAAATATCAATGATAGATTACGAAAGTAACCTTCAATAGCTAATTAATAGGAAGTATATCCTACTTATTGTTGCGATTGCGTAGGTAATGAATTAATGTTTTGCTTGTTTCAATTTGAATTTAAATTGTTCTGCATATGGTGGCTAATTTTTAAAATATAGGGGTATTTAAGTATCGACATCCAGCTAAGTACCTATTATAAATAAACTGATGATATCATCATTATAGAAGCTTGTTTAATTTGTAATATGTACTTACCCTTGCCCTAATACGGCGTGAAAAAGGATATTCCCAATAACTAAAGTATTAAACAGCCACATTTTTACAACTGGACAAATTCAAATAGCTACGAACTTGTTTATTCGTTGTAATACATTTTATGTAACACTTCTTCACTCACAAAATTGAAGAAAGTTTCTCTTTTACACTTTCTCCTACAATTCACTTAATTCATATTATAGTAATTTATCTCCTTTATACTACCTTTCTTGTCAAGCGTTACCTATGTGACTTCTATTGGTCATACTTGTTAGCCTTGCTTCACTTCTCCCGTTTAGTTGAATCAGAAATTCAAATTTAGTATCAAGAGAACCTTCGGTGTGGGACAGTGGGTGTACCCATTATACGTCTTACATTCACATAGACTTTACCTAGTTATAATTAATTATTAGTCACCTTTTCTAGTTAGTTTGCTGATAAATACTTTAATCTGCAAATAATTCCACAAAATGACACATATCTACAATAACTCGGTACTTACAAGGCGTGTTTAGTTTTTTTTTTAAGAATTTGGTGTGCACTTATTGGTATTTGTGTTTACATAAATGAATAGGTAATTTAATGCAGTTTCTTTGTATAGTGGTTGTGGCGACCCATTTTTTGAGAAAACCTTGACCTAAGTAGCTAAAAATGTGATCCTAAGTATATATATGTATACCTATCATAGGTACCTATGTACCTATTTTTTTGAAAGTGTATAAGTAGCTATCTACTGATGGTGATTTGGAAACTTAAGTGGGAATATCTCGAAAAGGAGAAGGGTATTTACAGAGGGAAAATGTAATATTGTGGGCAATTTCCTTAAGGACTTAATTTAGGCAGGGATCTAGACCGGACTCAAATAAATCCGAAAACCGGCCGTAACGAAGCAACCGCTCCATTTGCAGAACCGAAACCGTACAGTTCTTTCCCTTACTGAGAACCAGAACCCATAATTTTCGTTACGGTTCTTGCGTTTTCTTTTCGGTTTCAGTTTGATATTGCTACTCCAGCGAACACGCGGAATTGAACAGTTTTCTAAATATATTTTCTCTACTGATGTAGATATTTCTAATATTTTATTTTCGGTCTTTATGTTTAAGTGGGCTGGGTTTCAGGCAAGGCTGCTCTACCAAACCAAATCAACCCACTATACATTTACAAAATGTATCCATATTCCACATCCGAACGTGGATTCGAAGCAAGCACCCTACTTCAATACCGCAATAAAGCTTCTGCGTCACACAGGCCGGCTTTCCTTCCTCTATCTTCTGCACGTACGATTTGTTCACGACTCCTTCTTGACTCTTTTATAACTCTTACAAATTACACGCATCTCTCAAACCTTTCCCACGCTTTCATGACATTCTCTTCAACTAGGTACTCTTCACATGCTTGTTATAGAATTGATTTATTATATTTACCTATATGACTTTTCTCCTTTCAACCTTTCGAATTTTGCAACTCAATATGGATCAAGCCTGCTTCTTGTATATCTTGTTCGCCCCCTCTCCCTTTCCCTCGTTGTATCCATATGCTTCACGTACATCCTACTCTTTATGCATCTTCTTCACTAATCCAATACGCCTCTTCAATTTTTGTGGACATCATTTTTACGCCACCTTCAATTTCTCTTTACGCACCCTTTACATCTTGGCCCAAATCTCCCCTCAATATCAACCGTTGTTTCACATCAATCTGCCTTTTTTATATCTCCTTACGCATTTTTTGCACTTGTTTACTGTCCTCTTCAGGTTTAATACACCATGCAGTTTTTTCACATGCCTCCTTCAAATCCATTCCCCATCCTGATTCACATCTTTCTTTATATGCCATTGATTATGACAACACCTCAACGGTGAGTCGGTAACAAACCCTTAAACCGGCTACAGACACGTACATTTCTTGAGATACGTACGCGCGTACGTATCCTTCGGTGTAGACAATATCTCTCAATGCTTGAATTTTTGTACGCGCGTTTCTCAAGGAATGATTGGGTCTGTAGCCGGCTTTAGATCGTATGATCTGGAAAAACCGGCGCAGCACGGCACGGCAACATTGTAATGTAACCTTTCCTAAACCTAACCTCAAATTTTGTTTAGAAAATGAATTTATTGCTTATCTATTATAGTATGTACCTTAAAAAATAATATTTAACAACTTTACCATGCAGACAACAGCTTTTGTTATATTGGTACTGAATTCAGTTTCATTGATAAATTGTGGATCAGACAGTTTCACAGAAGAATTGTTTATTAAACCTCTGTACACCGATCACATCTATACACATTTCCATTTTTCAACAATTTGGGACACAGACTTACAGACAGAGCAATGTAAGTTACGTTAGAAATGACCCGATTGCATATACATCTTGCTTCAATTGCAGTTAAGCATACGCACTTATTTCCTCGGGCTCTCGGCGAAATAATTAAACGACACAATGTTCAAGAGCTCCATTTAAGCTTGACGGCCGGTCTGTGGAGGTACGAGACCTGGGGATATCCGATAACGAGCGCTCCTCCCGGTGCAGAATTGTGGGTATGGTTTAAACAGGATACGGAAAACGTTGACAAGAACTGGAAGGAATTGGCGAATTCGCTGTCGGGCTTAATTTGTGCATCATTGAATTTTATCGATACATCGAATAGTATTAGTCCAGAATATTCCTTTCGACCTAACGGTGCCGTTGCCGATCAGACTTTAAATTCGTCATATTTAAGATACTCGGCATTGCCTAGAGAAATTGTGTGTACAGAGAATTTAACACCCTGGAAGAAATTATTGCCATGCGAATCAAAAAAAGGATTAGCCTCATTGTTGAATTCTGGTTATATTTATAATACTCGCTACCATTCGCTTTCAATTCATTTTCGTCCCATCTGCAGAGATTTGGAGTGCGATGTGACATCTATAGAAGTGAACCAATATGTTGATTTAGTGTACGATTATTTGATACTAGGCGTGCGTAATTGGTCAATTCGTCGTTTATTCGGTCAAGGTATCTTGGGGTCTTGTCCTTTAGCGAAGTCAAGTACGGTGTATGTAGATATGAGCACTAACTCAAGCATACCGTTTGATCTTAGCCCAGAGCCTGACGAGTTTGTTCATTCAATACGGGGTGGTTACACAACCAAGTTTGCAAAATATAGAGTTACAAATGAAACTTTAAGTATATCAGTTAGTCACTTGGAAAATTCGAAAGTTTTAATTAATTCGCCCCCAGTTTTGCATGCCAATCAATATTTGACGGGGTATGGTCAAGAATTGGGCGGTATTGTAACAAAATTATATAATAATCATTGGAATAACTTAGACGTTGTTGTTTTGCAAAACATTCCATGGTACGTCCCCATTTATTTGCATACATTAAAAATTCAGGCCAATGGTGAGACCATTAAACCGATATCCATAAGATACATTCCCGGAAAGCTTCGCAAGCGGCCTTACTATGTTGAGATTGCACTTCGATTACCACCTCGATCCACAACTTCGATCTCTGCCGATTTTGAGCATGTTTTTCTTAAATGGACTGAGTATCCCCCTGATGCAAGTCACGGCTTTTACATTTCCTCCTCGGTTATATCAGCAATGCTTCCATTGACTAAGAACATTACAGGTTTGCCACAAGGAGCATCTACGATAGCGGATAGTTTTAATCGTAGCTCTGGAAGTGGCTATTTTGTACAGGTGCATACCGAAACCATGGTAGTTACTTTACCAACTCCAGATTTTAGTATGCCGTATAATGTAATATGCCTTGCCTGTACTGTAGTCGCACTCGCCTTTGGTCCTCTACACAACATTACCACTAAAAGACTGATTCTAAAACCTGAAAGCAATGAACGAGTAGTAGATAGACTTAAACAACGACTCTTTTTATTAGTCAATAAGTTTAAACTGGGGAGGGCCGAACGAGCAGAAACCGAGTAGATAATGAAAATGTGTACAAGTTGTGATATGTTTCATGTATTATTTTAAGTCACTGAAGTAATGCTATAGGAGATATGTACCTAATTAGTTTATTTAATAAACAAATTGATTGTGTAATTTTTAAATCTCTACTTATTAATTTTAATTGCGGGCACTGCAGAATAAAAACAGTGTTGGCAACCTATTGGAGAGATTAATTAATGGAAACTGGGAGTAATTATAATATGAATGTGCGATGATAGCTAATTGAAAATGAATATGCTTTTCCATTGCAATTTATATGTGTATGTGTGGTTGGTCTTGAAATATGTGACAAATTTTTTTCAGAAACGTGGGGGTGTTAATATATTGTGAGGCGCATATTTTACTGGCGTACTTGAGTTAATGTCTGACTACGAGACTGGGGATACCGGGTTTGGGCTTGGATATAGTTTAGTAGTAGTAGGTTGGGTTGGTACAGCAGCTTTAGCTGGAACTTCGCTCACTTAAAAATAAATAGGAAGCGCGAGAGGGATTAAGGCAATTTTAACGTACCTTCAGTTTGCATTCTAAAAACATAAAATAAAAATCTTATATTCTCCTGAAGGCGTCCGGTCCTGGTAAAAACTGATTCAACTGTATTTACAATAGCTCTGAAACTCATTTTTGAGAGGTCGAGCGCGTTTCAAAATATGGAAGTGAGTGTGAAAGGGTGAAGAATCGTAGGTATATCATTGAAATATGGAACTGGAGAAGAGGGTAACCTCCAAAAAGTTGATTTGGGTGACTACTTTTCACCCTTTTCTCTGTGCTGCACACGGTGGATAAGAGTGTCTTAATAATAAAAGTACTACAGCGCGTTCGCACCTCCAGATGCAGTATGGTGCTTATGGACATACAGTACATGCTTGCCAAACGTGACAATGACTTCAATTTAATCATATGTCAATTTGACATCAATGCGGTCAGAATCAAGGATAGTATTGTTAAAGAATGACGCAAACTAGTAAGAGAGGCAATTAGTCCATAAGACCCCATACTGCATCTGGAGGTGCGAACGCGCTATAGACCGTTTTCAGTGGGAGGCTGGGAGGGAAACATTTTTTTAAACAGTGGGGATAATAAGAGTCAATTCATCACTCATTTACGATAATGATGGAATAAAGCCCT